GGATGGAGCCCCGCCCCCCACCTCACAAGACCCCTCAGCTACCCCTGTTCAGGTATTGGGGGTAGCTGTGTTATGACGTGGCTTTAGAGCCCTTTCGGGGACCAGATTGCACAAAAAATGTCACTTTTGTCTGAGCCCTTAGTTACTAAGTTGGTTTTAAGTATTTGTAGGTATGTGCTATGTTAAAGTTATGTTTGTTTAAATGTAATTCAGTTTGGCTCTGAACACACATTGCAGTACTGGGGACTGTGTATTATGGCATACTCAAAAAAAGAAATCTGCTCTTTCTTTTGTTCCTCCCCTATCTCTCTGGCCTCTTGCCTGATGTTCAGTAACTCTTAATATCTCCTCAGAATTTTCTCTCTGGTAAAAAATATTTTGGAGAGTTTCCCTAAATTTGAAATACAAAATATTTGAATATGAAGGATTAATGACTTCTAAAAATTATGTTGTGTCATCTTTAAGTTGAAGAATAATATTGACATGGTTTGGGCTGTTTCTTTTTTGTGTGATAAGAACTGGAAATTAGGTTTGATTAAAATCTGAATTTTTATATGACAACTTACATTTTTATAAATATTTTGAAGCCTCTTTTTTCCTGATATTCTTTATGTTTGTTTTCCTACGATATTCCTCCTTTCCCAAAACCCCATGTTTTTGCTCCTTTATTTCATCCTTGTTTCTCTCAAAGCCCAAATTCCCTCTCACCTCCAGTGAGCCCTTGTAAGTTCCCTTTTCTGACCCCAGCATAGTCTTTTCTGATTCTTAGTATTTTTTCTTATCTTACTTCTGTTTTTCTCCAAATGGGTTGCAGCATGTCTGGTTAGAACATAAAGGTTATATTGGGCAAATTATTAAGTAGGACAGGGCTCTCAAACTACAATAACAAGGACCACATAAAAACATAGGTAGACATGGTACTTTCAGATTTGCTCTGGATGGTTACTGTCCTCAAATTTTTAGGAGCTTCACTTCCCCTGGTCAGAGGCACACAAGAAAATGTTGTCACCTGCTGTTTTTAAGGCAGGCCATGAGCTCACAACTATGAAAAATCGCAGCTCTCCCAGTAGAGAATGCTCAGTTTGTTGAAACCAAAAGATAACAGGAGGTATGTAAACACTTTCAAATCATATTAAAATTTGGGTTCAGTTATTTTTTACTAGTTCCCTTAAAACTTGCCTTTTAATTTTATTTTTGGCCCAAATAGATTTTTTAATATTTTAATTAGGCATGACAGGGGCACGTGCAAAAGTAACAAAAATGCCTCAGAAGAACATCAACTGTAAATACTGTTCATTTTATTTAAATGCATGAATATTACACATTAATTCAAAATAATCTACATTTCTTTTTATTTTCATAAGTTTGGGAGTTGAAACAGAAATACTGATTTATGTCTCAGTTATAGCATATATATAGATAGCATCATATCACAACATGGAAAATGTTATTCACTATTATTTTTGTGTCAAGCAATGAACATTCATGTCAGGGAAAAAAACAATTCATTAAGAATACAAAAGCCAAAAAAATTATGAAAATGAGTGAGAAATGGGTAATTTTACTATATAAATACTTTAACAACTTTTCAGGTTTGATTTTAATCAGAATGATATATTCTGTTTTAGTTATGAATCTTAACGTTGTCTAATCCTCAAAACATTGTCATACTATGTTAAAAAAAGAAAAAAAAGAAAAGCAAATGTACAAGCATTTAGCAACCATAAACTATCCAGAAGTTTAATTCTTAAATGAATCCCAGCATTTAAGCACCCTTTAATTAGATATGACCTATATGAAACAGAGATTTACCTCTTCAGAGCAATACAATATTGCCACTAAATCCCAGGGGAGAGTATTAGTACCCTAAACATTGTATCAAAAATAGTTCCTGCCTTGTGTGATGTTATTTCTGCAGTGCTTTTTCAAAGGAGAGCTCAGAACACAGATGCCATTACTGTTTTGGAAGCAGACTGACAGTTACCTGGAGTTTAACCCATTCTGTAAACCATCTGGTTCAAAAAGTGAAATCCAGAATAACATGATCAGATGATAATTTGAAGAACTTCTTCTTTGCTAGTCAATAAACCATGTCTTGAGAAAAACTCAGCAACAAAAAAATAAGCAGCAAGATGGCCTTCAAATTATTATTACTATTGTTAGTAGTAGTAGTAAGCTAAAATGTCATAATTATAATTAGAAGAAACCAGATTGAGGAGGCCATGTTTCTAGTATGTGAATTCTGAGGGAAAACTGTATCCAAAAATAGGGATTTACAGTGTCTGTGGTTTTAGGACCAATTAATACAGCCAAAATGCAGGAATTTATATACTGCACAGTGTACAAAAACCTATTGTTAAAAAAGATAAGTAGTTCACAAGCTACCTTCAGATTTAATAAAGGAAAGCAATAGTTATGTCTTTAAAGTCTATCAGTAACTCAGGGAAAGTTTAGCCACAAGACATGGGCATTTGCAAAGATCTTCTTCCCCCCAATGATATAATTATTACTGTTGCATGTGTTTAAGGGCTTTCCAGTGGCTCCTTTTCCTCTTTTGAGTGTTACAGAAACTGAGTTCTACAGGAAATCAAGCCTAAATAGATTTGTTTTTTCAACCACAAGAGGGCATCCATGCACACAACCTCATGTACACACATTCTATGCTATATATTCTTTAATACAAGGATGTCAAACTTGCAGGTCCTGCAGGCCTGATGAATGGCGCAGGGTTGGTCCATGTGTTGGAAGAATGGTGCAGAGCCAGTCCATGTGCCAGACTGGGCCCAGAGACCAGACTTGTATGCTGGATCCAAAGTAGACGGCCAGTCTGGTACAGGCATCATATGCAGCATTTGCCCTGGACTGGCTGTGGCCAACACATGCAACACACACTCCAAATTGGCCATAGGCACTGCATGCAGCATGTGCCTTGGCCTAGCTGGAGACACTGCATGTAACATATGCCCCAGGCCACCCCCACATGCCACATGCAGTTTGCACCTGTCCCAGCTCTTTCGTGCAAAGCACATGCCTGTCCTAGCCCAACATGGGAAGCACTGTGGGCCAAATGATAGGGCTCCATTGGCTAAGTCTGGCCCATAAGTCATATCTTTAGCATCCCTGCTTCAGTATAAGACCCCAGCTATGGTATTTATCAATTCTGCTATATACCTGTTCTCTTTTAGATTCCTGAGTCCCCAATGTTGCTGAAAGGACAAAAATCTAATTCTACCTTCTGTTACCTTTACAGGCATCAGTTTTTTTCCTTCATCCTCTCTTACCAGAGGGTTTGGTCCTAGACCTTTTGAAATTAGTGGCAAATATCTCAATGGTATCAATGAGGGCTGATTCAACTCCCTTTGGATTCAATGAGAATTGAACTTGATCCCAAGAGAAGGGCATATATACAGTCTTACAGGCTGAATTAAACAAAATGCAACTTAAAGTTTTTGCATTAGTTCATTCCTGAGAAGGTCATTAAAGTGTGTTCAACAGCAATCTAAATTACTGAATGTCTTATTCTCTCTTTGATCTTGACACAGGAGTTTAATCACTAATAATAGGGTTCTTTAAGGGAGACTGATTTTTTGAGATTAGGAATAAGTTTTCCTGATGCATAAAAGACTTTTTAAAGCTGAAGTCATCTATGTACATGTCTTTAAAAGAAGAATTTGAACAACTGCTGTATTGACTTCCTTGTGGATACTTTATTTACTTCGAAAAAGATCATAATCCTTAGATTATATTCAGTAATATCAGAAATAAACCTCATCCTCTGCAAAAATATGAATAGCACCAGATTTATAGATTAGCACCAAAAAGACAGCCATTACTATCCATTTGATTAGACATCTGACTGGCAGTTATTATGGTATAAAAGGCTGCATTAGCTTGCATCAGGACATATTTTTACTTCTATAACTCTCATAGTATCTTTTATTTGAATCACAGCTATTCTTCATCTTATTTTAGCATTTGACCAATTCTACAAATATTTGTTTTAAATTTAAAATAGAACAGGATTTTGTGTTCAGAGGAATATATTTCCAACAGCCAATTTGTTGTTAAGCAGCACATACCTTTTCTGCTATGAAGGAAGAGTGGGTCTGGATTTTTAAGTCCAAAAAAGGAAGTTGTGGGGTTTTGCTCCTTCTCTTCCTCAGTTTGCAAACCCAAGGACTTATTATTATATTATAGTAGATACCTTGGGTCTCCCTGACATTTCTGGTACTTTAACTCCTGCACTATTTTGTGTCAGATAATAAATCAAGCAGCACTGACACAGGCCATCAAAGGAGAAGTTGTCTGGCATTGTTGTTATTCAACCCAAGAGAGAGTTGATGATTTTATTTATAGGGATTCAAATAAATAATATAGAAATATTTATGGTCCACAGCACTATTATAATAAATGGAATGGTAAATGGTATTTCGTTAATCAAATGTCTGATTAGGAGTAACCCCTATTGATGCTGGTATACTCAGAAGCTGCTCTTATGAAATAGCTTATACTCAGATTATTTCCTGCTGCTATTCATTACAGTGTGATTATAATAGATACAATGATCCCTAGCACCATGACTGGGTGTTGTGAAAAATCTGCACATCTGTGTGATAGTTGCAAATTTTCCTGTATCCACAGAAAACAAAATATTCCACACAATCAACTTATTTCTACCAACTTAAAAAATGAACAGATACAATAAAATATATACCCGTTATAATAATTTCAGTTGAATTACAGATGTATAAATTAATTTATAATTTCTAGTCTGGCTTGGATAGTGTCCTACACAATGTACAAGTTGCAAGTTACAAAGTGCATCATTATTATTAAATGTCAACCCTAATACTGTAGGCTCTACAGCTTAATCTGAACATTTGTTAAATGTATACTCTGCCTAATTATATTTTCTTCAATTGCAAAATAAAGAAAATGTAAAGCTGCAGTCCTTATCCTTCCCCCTTTCCTTCTCCAACGAGACCTATCATAGGATACAAATTGCCCTTTGCATCTGATCTTTTACTCTTTTGTTAAAAATGTTCTTTGGGTGACAGTGCATGGTCTACTAGACAGTTAAATCTCATCAAAATCTTTTAAATGTGTGTATAAGTGGTAGATAAAATTTGTGTTAACTCTCTGGATAGGGGAGAATTTCATACTATTTAAGTTTTCTGACAAGTAAGGATTGAAGGACTCCAGGCCCTTTATTTAGTCAGGAAAATCCATACAATTATAATTGTTACTAGTATTAAAACAGGAGCATTAACCTAAGTGCAGAATTTAAGCTCAGAAATTTATCAATGGTTTAGGATTATATACCTCTCAAAGTACTGTCTTTTCAGACAAAGAAATGTTGCTTCCAGAAATGTTTGAAGAGGTACAGTACAATTAAGGACCTCATCCAAGTACATGTCAAATGATAGGTATCCAGAGAGCCAACATTTTTATGCTGTCCAGTACAGAACTCACGCTTATCAATAATATTGACGTGTTTGGCAAAAGGGTTGATTACATATATATATAATTCCCTTTTTTCAAGTTTAGAAAAAATTACTTGTTATCATCCCCTCTATTATGATGGCAGACTCCCTTGACCATTCTTATGAAGATGGCCTTATTGCTTTAAAAATGCATGTATACAATACCAGTGAAGTTGTACCACTCTAATTGTAGTACTGACTCTAGCTACATCAAGTTCAAAAAGTTTAAAGCTTTGTGCTCAGCCATACTAGGCACAAATGGGAACATGGAAAATTGGAAATTTATTTCCAATTTACATTTAATTATTTACATTAATTGTGCTCTCTGTTACGTGTGGATTAAATTCTACATTGTAGTATTCTGTACATCCCTTAGTTCAATTACGGTTGCACATGTTGGTATACTAACAAACAAGAGTTTGAAATCTAACTATATAATTCAGGAAAATCTATCTGTTCAGTGTCCTAGTTTAAGCTGTAGCCATTAATTCTCCATACCTTTCTACTAAACACCCATTCTGGAGGGGGGTGAATACATTTTTTTTCAAGAAATAGCCCTGCTCCATTGTGTAAAGCACACTGTCAACTGCTATACAAATTATCAGTTTTTTCAAATGCTGTTAAAAGATTTTCTCTTTCCCATTTTTAAGTTCTATAATCAATTTGATCAATGACAACTCTTTTGGGAAATGTTTTGATTAAACCTTAGGCCAGATCTATCTTTGAAATATTTATCAATATAACTATTTCAGTTAGTGGAAGAGTTTTTTTAAAAATCAGAATAGTTACACTGATAAAAACATGGATGTCATTTACTTACATACAGGTGTCTTGTAACAATACAGTCATTTTCCTTCCCATATGGAAATTGATATGCTTGTATAAAACATCTTTATACTAATATAATTATGTTCACCTGTGGGGAGGTGAACTGGTTACAGTGCTAAAATACTGGTAATTTTTTCTACTGTAGAAAAGGCTCTAATTAGATTGGTGAATACTTTCGGCCCCACAGTATATCGTAGTGGTGCAAAGGCCAACATAGCTCCCTATTCTTTACTTCTCTCTGTTCACACAGGCATTATTGATGATAGCAGCAGCCGTGCACTGAACTCTTGAAAAATAATTTAAATTAATCACTGTTGTGCATGAGGTAGCTAAAATAGGGCTGAAACTTGCAGTTTCTCCTGCATGTGTGTATACTCCTTCTCAGACTATCATCAAATGTGTACATGTAAGCACAGGTACAAAATAGAGTACCGCTTCCAAGACAAGGACAATGCATGGTGTTGTACAACACACTACAGCAGTGATTTTCAAATCTTTTGCATTTGCATACCCCTAAAACATTTTGAATGAAGGTGAGGAACCCTTTGAACTATAAGTATGGCTGTTCACATACTTTTGATAATCATAGTCTTCTTTTGCGGACCTCTTAGACATAGTCTGTGGACCCTCAGAGGTCCACAGACCTTAGCCTGAAAACCACTGCACTACAGTCATGGCTGTTGTTGCTTTTTAAAATATTGATTTAGATTCCAATGACACTATGCTGTCTATATCTATAATTTTAAAGGAAGTCAGGTTTTAGACTTAAGTTGACAGTGCCCTTTTTAATGTGCTTTTAATAGAAAATAGAATACATTCCTTAGGAAACTACCCTGTCCTAAGATGAACATAAGCTTATCCTTCTCTACATGGCAATCATCTGAATTGGAGAACATTTGGCTATAAATTCAAAGGGTTAAAATAAATGTATTCTGTACTTTGAAGCTAATTTAACAAAAGCATACAAAAAGAAAACCAAGGTATTATTACAGTATCTTTATATATATATTTATAATATGTGCAAAAATCAATATACAAGCTTTTGTTATTCAGCCATATTATTTTAAAGTAATGTAAACTGATGCTAGCTTATTTAAACCAATATAAGTAATTTGATGTAACTCCCGGGAAACAAAGATTGTCAGTACAAGATCCTCCATAGCTAGGTGGGCAAGCAGAACACGGGACTCCTACTTTATATGGGGCTTCTCCAATCCAGTTGCCCCTGAAAATAAAAAGTAAGAACATTTTTTAGTAATCTGAGAAACAATTATATATCCAAAATAAGTGCAAAATAAATTTGGGGGTTATGTTTCCCATAGGGTACTTATAAAATATATTCATACTCAGTTTGGAATAACTTTTGCAGGCTTCCCCTCTAATCAAAGGAAAACAACCAAAACACTTTTTTCAGTAAGGAACTGGGGCACAAACATGGTTTCAAAGTTTTCTTAGACTGTTAAAATGCTTTAGTTCAATGGCTACATACATATTTTTTAAAGTTAGTAAGTTATATCTTACTGGAGAGTTCAACCAGTTGGGAGTCATCAGGTTGAGGCTGAACCCAGGATGATTTGCTCAAGGGAAATGGAAAGATAAAAGATTATTCACAACAGCATTATAGAAAAAGTAATGGAAGTGGAAGATTACTTGAAAGTTGCATGAAAGAATGAAAGCAAGATTCTACTGGAGGAGGGCCCAGGCATCATTATTTGTAGGCCCCAGGTGTTCTGTGGCCATGGGCGACTGGTGCCTCCTGATACTGGGGGGGCACCAGCAGCCAATAGCCAACCAGGGGGGTGGATCACCCAGTGGCCCATCGCTGCTGCTGGTGGAAGTGCTGGCAGCAAAACAGGAAGTGCTGGCAGCAAGCCCAGAACTGCCACTGGTGCTTCTCTTGGTGCCCCCATAATCTCAGGGGTTGTACTGGCTGTCACCCCCCACTCCCTGGCCTGTGAGGCCCAATCTTAAGGGGGGCACGTGCCACCCCATGCCCTCCATACGCATTGCCTATGCCTGTGACCTTTCCCACTTTCCAAATGAGAGTATACCACAAACCATATTATTGACTAGACTGGATCCCCCTCAACTCCTTCTCTTGAAGCAGGCCTAGTGGGCAGTTAGAAATGTATGACTCATGGAGAGCAAGCAACAGGGAGCCTATAGCTCAATGAAATGGGCATACCTCTGAGAATTCAAAGTTATAGGTTTCAGTTCCTGCATCTAGGGTTATTTCTGGGTTTTATCCAATGACTGTCTACTGTAAAAATATACGAATGGTCTCAGTAGTAGGGACTGGAGCTAAGGTATATCCCCTCCCATAAAAGCAACATAACAGGATCCTTGTTTCCCAAAATAAAAGAGGTTTCTTCAATAAGTTTGTTTTTTTACCCAATTCACCTGTTAAAGTTTATACAATCTTTATGGCCACAGATAAAAAATCCTTTTCCTTTTCATAAGGCAGCTGGGACAACAAAATTATTCAAATTCACTCACTCACATATTCTTCCCTACTTGTGGATCTGTGCCATTGAAAGTTTATGGAAAACATGCACAACTCATTATTATTTGTTTCTTACGCAGCACCAGGGGTACTGCCAAAAATTCCAGTCTTTCTCCTCCAGAGCTAAAGGTCTGGTCTACAATAAGAAAGCTTGCATAAAGTGAAGACTGATATGAGCAGAGAGATTGCAGGATTGGATGCTAAATTAGATATAGCATAGCAAGGGGAGAAAAGGGCATGTGGAGTGGGGGGGAGTTATGAAAACAGTAAATAGTACAGTATGAAATATAATAATATGTTTTTGTTCCAAATAAATAGTAATGTTTCCATTTTTGTTTGCGTGCATTTATGATCAATAGTGCTAATTGAGGGAATAAACCCAGCAAAAACCCATGAATAAAGGTCAGCATTAAAATGCTAAGTCATGAAAAGAAGTTAAAATCCCTACAACATGACCCTAATGTACAGAAAGTATGAAAGTAAACAGAATAAAAATAAAGGAACTTACTTTGGGGCATAGTTGCATACCAAGTAAACAGCTCGTCGCCAAACTGATCCCCAGACATTCATATTGTGGCATGTATGGATCGCGCAGCCTATACGATTGGAAGTGGCCCAAACCATCTGAATAAATAATCATTATTGGTAAAGTCCAAATTGAAAAGAAATATATATATATATGAGACAGAGCTATAAATGCAACATAGAAAAGTCCATCTTTGAACTGTTGATTGGAAAAGAGAATTGAATTCATATAACCTGTGTATAGTGTGTGCACATGGGTCCATAGCATCTCAGAGGGCACCTAGGGTTGCAGTCCTGAGGATATGGGAAAGCATAGTCCTTCACTTCATCATACCATGGCTTTACCAGCTGAAGAATGGACCGATACCTAGATGTATTTAAAGGCAGAAGAGGGGAAATACATTTTAGAACTTTATACACTAGAACATTCTGTCATACATCCATGGGATGTGTTATGGTCTATTTAAGAACAACTTTTCTTTTGAGACTTGAAATGCTGGGTTAGAGTTAATGATGACCAGTTATTCATTTGCATATTTCTAAGTAGAATTAGTTTTTTGAGTTTTGGGGGGGGTGGGAGGGGTTTAATTACAAGCTAGTCTAGTGGTTGTTATCATGCTAGCTGAAAGGTTCACATATGTGTGGCTTCATTGTAATTTACATCAGCTGAGGTGTCCAACTTGTACACAGGTGCACAACAATTCTACAAGACAGTTGCCTACCTTCCAGTTCTTACAGACAAGTTTTGACCCAAGAATCTCATTAAGTAGGAAGGTCCATGGTCCCAAATGCATGTAGCAGCCCAAGCCTCTGCCGATTTGGCAAGAGTTTCATCCCAAACCTGGCAAAATAAAAAGTCTTTAGCAAAAGCAATAAAAATTACAGTATGGTGCAAGAGAGTAAGAGGCAGGTACCATAAGATATGATTATGTAAATAAACCATATCAGATTCATAGCTCAGTATCTGAAGAGGACTTTTAAAATACATTAATCAAAACTGCAGTTCTCATGAACTAATCCTCTATTCTGTGCTTTATAAAAACCAAAATCCAGTCAGAGGCCTCCCTTACCTACAGGAACACAGATCTAGCGCACACACGCCTTATGAGATCTTCCATAGTACCAGATCAGATAAACAAGGTCTGCTAGTTTAGGTGATTCCATGTATGTAGACCTCCCAAGTCACAAATGGACCCTTTGGGTCCTGGCCCTCTGTGGATTTGTATGGGGTTAAAGATAAGAAAGGATTGGCTAGGAGCTATGGTCAGCCTTGTATTTGTTGGATATTCAGCTGGAGAACATGCAAGGGAATGATATTGCAGCCATAGCCTTAGCCAGTCATTTTAGTGCCCAGTGCAAGTTGTGCAGATTACCCCCCTACATGCTACTATATAATTACTTCCATTTCAAGTAATTACACCCTGACCCCATGTGATGGCACCCCCCATGTGATGGCACCCAGTGCCAGTTCACCACTGACACTGCCCTTGCTATGGTACTGAATTTAGCCTTGGATGATTTCACATCCTCTTTGAAAACTGCTACATCCAGCAAAGGGATTCCTGGATGCATCTCTGGCCCAGGGGAGCACATGCTTTTGAGACTATATTGTCAGCAAAGGGTATATAGCACAAGCAATGAGTCAGAGTGGAGGCACTGATCCTCTTCAAGCTCCACCAGCCAGGATCTATTTGAGTATAAGCTCCCATAAATCATTCTGCATGGGAGCCGCCCCTCTGAAATAATAGGAAAACAAATTAATAAAGAGATCTTTCAGAGACTGCCTATCCCTAAGTCCCCTTTCAGGAGTTCTGTTATAGGTATACAAATTGCAGCATATCATTCTTTATTACTAAAGACATTTGAACAATGGGGGAACATTTTTCCTTATGAGTTAACCAGTTATCTTAACTAAACCTGAACGCAGGTTTAGTTACAACACAGTTGTAACCAAATACAGTTATTTCCAGAACAAACACTTATGAAGTCATTAACAGAGGAATGTCTCAGCCAAATAAATAGAAGCAATGAACGATCTCTTACAAAAGAATACATGTTGATGCTAATGCTTCAGCCATGGACTATCTTCCTATTGACATGGAATATGCATGTTCAAACCTCTAAACCTCAACCTACAAAGCAAGCCTCTAAAATTTGCTGAGTTTACAATCTAGTGTGTCCAAAGCTGCAGAATGATAAGTAGTGGGAATCAGAAAATCAAAGGCTATTGTTCTAGCTCATATCCCTGACTCCATGGGACAGGTAAGACAAAGTTGCCTATGTAAAACATGAAATTTGTTTGAGTTTATGAAACCGCTATATCACTGAATGTCTTTCCATATATTGGATTACAAATATAAGGAAGCCTATGTCTGTATCCCGTCACAGAGATGAAGGAGGGAGATGTGACTGGGATAATTAAGCCTTTAACTTGAATAGTCTCTTCAACTGAAACTTCTGTAGAGCCAAGATGGCTGCAGCCGAATGTGAACAAACTTTCCCAAAGTAGCCTGCAGGAGGTGGGAATGGAGCAATGGAAAATCCACCAAAAATGGAAGAAGCAAAGATAAAAGGTGTTAACAGTTGCTGTTAAAAAAGAAATATGCTCACTGAGCTGAGGAATCTTTTGACAGCTAGATCTGAACAAGCTAAGGAAAGCTGAGTAGAGAAATCAGGGATAAGTCCAATAAGGTACCCAAGGATTGGAAAAGGGCCAGTGTGGTCCCCATTTACAAGAAGGGGAGAAAGGAGGACCCCGGCAATTATAGGCCAGTCAGTCTTACCTCAGTCCTTGGGAAGACCTTTGAGAAAATTATCAAGGAGCACATCTGCAAGGTTCCAGCAGAGGAGGTAATGCTTAGGGGCAATAAACATGGGTTCATTGAGGGCAGGTCCTGCCTGACTAACCTGGTTTCTTTTTATGATCAGGTCACTAAGTCCCTGGATGAGGGTGTCAGGGTGGATGTCATCTTCCTGGGCTTTAACAAGGCCTTTGACACTGTTTCCCACCACATTCTCTTAAAAAAAAACTTGGTGACTGCGGCACTGATGCCTACACAGTCAGATGGGTGGCAAATTGGCTAGATGGTCACACCCAGAGAGTGATGATGGATGGGTCGCTTTCGAACTGGAGGGATGTGGACAGTGGAGTCCCCCAGGGCTTGGTCCTGGGGCTTGTACGGTTCAACATCTTTATCAGTGATCTGGATACGGGTATGGAATGCACGCTGTCCAAATTCACTGACGACACCAAGTTGTGGGGCGAAGTGGGCACGCTGGAGGGGAGGGACAGAATCCAGCTAGACCTAGACAAATTACAGAGTTGGGTGGATGAGAATAGAATGGAATTCAATGCAGACAAGTGCAAAGTACTGCATCTAGGGAGAAGAAACCAGCAGCATACCTATAGGCTGGGGAACACCCTTCTTGTCATCACAGTGGCAGAAAGGGATCTTGGAGTCATTGTTGACTCCAGGATAAACATAAGCCGCCAATGCGAGGAAGTGGTCAGTCAGGCTAACCACAGCTTGTCGTGCATCTACAGATGCATCACTAGCAGGTCCAGGAAGGTGATCCTTCCCCTCTATGTGTCATTGGTCAGGCCACAGTTGGAGTACTGCATCCAGTTCTGGGCGCCGCACTTCAAGAGGGATGTGGCTAGCATTCAGAGGGTCCAGAGGAGGGCCACTCACATGGTCAAGGGGCAGCGGGGCAGGTCCTACGAAGAGAGGCTAAAGGGCCTGAGCCTATTCAGCCTCCACAAGAGAAGGCTGAGAGGGGATCTGGTGGCCATTTAAAAACTCACCAGAGGAGACCAGTGAGAATTGGGGGAGGCTCTGTTCCCTGGGGCTTCACCCGGGGTTACTAGGAATAATGGCCAAAAATTGTTAGAGAGAAAGTTCAGGCTGGACATCAGGAGACATTACTTTACAGTTAGGGATGCCAGGCTCTGGAATGGGCTCCCAAGTGAGGTGGTACTCTCTCCTACCTTGGGGGTCTTCAAGAGGAGGCTGGACAGATATTTGGATGGGGTGATATGATCCCAGCACCTGTTCCTGTCCGAGGCAGTGGGTCGGACCTGATGATCTGTTTAGGTCCCTTCCGACCCTAAGCACTACAATACTATGAAGTCCATGACCAGGAAGAGAAGACCCAGCCAGCAGAGTGGGGTCCAGAATAAGGGAGCTGCAACACCTCAAGGCACTGACCACAACTCAAAGATCACTCAAGAACATGAGAACTGAGGAGGAGGAAACTGTATACATAGGTTCCTATTTTGTCGTGATATACATATCTCTTGTGATTGGATTCCACCTCATATTACTGATTTAATAATTCTACTGCAAAACCTGTGATTAAAGGGTTAAATTGTAACTTGCTACCACCAGAGTTGGAACTTGGGAGATTCTCCTTAAGATATTATAGAGACTTATGCTCAGCAATTCCCTAGAAGTGTACATGAGAGGCCAGAGCCAGGAACTGTGCCTGGAGCCTGCTCAGACCCAGGGGAGCTTAGAAGCATGTGGTCCAAATACAGCTGCCTGGTGATTATCCATTAGGACTAGCTCAGCCAGAATTGTGACACCCCATAAACACTCTTCCTTGCTGAGATTAATCATGCCTCTGGCATGAATACTCTCTGCCAGAAGGTTGTGTGCCCACTTGAAGCAAGCCTGGCAAGGGGCCCACAATAATCTCCATGTGCAATGTATTTGCACAAATAGCACTGAGCTTCTCATTTTGACCCAACTTGATTTTAATAATAAAATTACCTTGCCTATACATAACACATAATATTTAAAACAGTGTAGTCTATACTATTAAAAGGGCTGCACATAGTGTCACCTTTTGTTTTACTAATAGTGGTTGTTTAAACTTTTGCACTTGAACAGTGAAAGCAAGCCTAAACCATTTCTTGTTTCTGTTCCCTTTCACTTTCTTATTCTCAAGTATCAGAACAATGCTGCTATGTTGGGGCTGTGAAAGCAGTAGGGAAATATTGAAATCCAAATTATTGGATGCACAGGCATGACTTTAATACATAATGGCTAGGGACACAAGTTACACATAAACTGATTTAAGTGATGAGAAACTGGTTTAAACCTGTAACAGAACAGAAGTTCAGTGCACATAAACCAGTTTCAAAACAGCTGAAACTGGGTTAACATAAACCTGGCTGAATGTAGTATCAGACTTAACTAATTTATGTCAAACTTGTTTATGAAACTTCTGTTTCAAACCCCTTCCTGGTTCAGGTTAAATCAGAGTCTCCCAGCATCCCAGGATGCTTTACAACCCTGGGCTGGGCTGTGCTGTCTGCTCCAGGGAGCAGGGCTGGCCCCACCCCTCTGCTCCCTAGCCAAAGCAGTGAGGGCTGGTTCACTGGCCGGCTCACCACCACCCACCCCAAGCAGACCCCCACAGAGGTCTGAGGCTAGTAAGGGTAGCTCAGTGTGCTGGCCTTGTCTCCTTCTCTTCATTCTCCTGGCTGTGAATGTGGACTACAAATCCCAGAGGTACCTGGAAGCAGGAAGAAGTGATGAGAAACCATGCAAAGTCCTGGTACTGTGATTCTGTCCTGCAAATTCCAGAGACCTCAGCAGCAGCAGAAGAGGAAGCAAACACACAGCCAAGCTTCAGAGAAAGGACTATTCTTGTTCAAGCTTTTATGATTTTAATGCCACTACCTTTTCCCCCTGCACCTCCTCCGCAGCCTGGCAGCCCCTCCTCCTTCCACCCAGGCAGATCACAGACTGGGGCCAGGCCATGCTCCCTCTGCTCCAGCAGGGAGTGGGGGAAAGTCTTGGAGGGCTTCTCTCCTTCCTTCCCTTTGGCAGTGGC